GGATGCCTAAGGCACAACTACTCCACTCCTTATCTGTCTTCTGCACACAGCAGATAAGACAACTGAAACCTTTCTGTCAATATAGAAACAAGATACTGTGTTAATTATTATTGATGTATTTTAATTTGTGTATAATAGTATGTTATTATTATTATTATTATTATTATTATCATAGTTTATTATTATATGTATGTATTATCACCACTATACTTATTTGTCATCATCACTATTATTAACAATATCATCATCATTATTAGATTAGTTATTTCTTAAAAAAGGGTAAAGGACGGGGTAAAAAACTTACCAGGAAAAAACAAAATAGAAAAAAAACCTAATTGGTCAAACTAATGTAACTAGAAAGTAATGTGCCCAGTACACGGGCTAGTGCTCTGTGTACTGGGTGCAGCCCCCCAACCCAAAAATGGATTTGTGCTTGTTTGATATTCAATATAATACACTTTGATGAGAATGACTTTTCATTAAGGCAGCAGCATTTGCAGCATTTGCATCAGTTTCAGCTGGTGGTGTGACATGCGATGTCCCTGCTATAGAATAAATATACACCACATTATGGTGAACACTTAAAATATACAAACTACAGCATTGTACTATATTCCTGCAATAGCCCACAGAAGGAAAACATTTATAGAGAAAAAACATATTTCTCAATAATAATCTTCAGATTTGTTACATTCTTGAATCCTTTGGTGGGCTGAAGCACCTGAGGTACAGGTTTGAGACCCCTGCTTCAGATTATTAACAAATCTGTCAGACAGTATTGTGGAACCTCTGCCTTTCACGTCATTTCACAGACACTTACAGTTCTACAGTTCCGTTTTCACAACTTCCCTGCATCACATTTCTGATGGATTGCAAAATATCTGCAGATTATCAACATTAAGAGAAATAAATATTGACATGTTATTTGTCTACGCTCTCGTGAGTCTTAAGGCTGCAGTGGCTCCAGGAGGAATGTATTAGCTCTACTGTGCCAAGGTTTGACATGAATCACGCACTTCTTTGCCTTTGAAACAGTGTTGCCAGCCTTCACACGCGCTGACATTTTCACAGTGGAAGAGGAGCGTATAGTTGCTCTCCCAAGAGGCACCTGATGTGTTTGTGGGAGAGGCAAAAGGAGACTGTAAATATAAAGAACGGAGCGGCACCACTTTGGCACAGAAGCATGAGGCTTGAATAGAGATACTTTATTATCATGGTGTCTGCAATAAAATATTGACTGCTCACCTTATATTTTAACAGAGGCACGAATGGTCATATTTTATGTTGCTTTATGGGTAGAACCACCAGAACAGCCACCTGCAGCATTGTCACCCACACATAGGGATTGTCTGAAGAAGATTTCCATGCAACTCTTTTCTTTTCACGTGATCTCAAACTATCACTGGTTTCATGTAAGTATTAATGGAAACAATGGCATGTTCCACAGAAATGTTTTATTATGCCTTATTCTTTCTCTATGTTTGACTTGTTTGCACCGAGAGCCAAAGCCATTTCCTAGTCTGTGACTTCCTGTTACTTACATGGCAAGAAAAGTGATTCTGATTCTGAGTACAGCATTAAAAAGATACAGACACCCAAAGCAAGAGGTCCTCCTGTTGCAGTAAAGTAACAACATGTATAAAAAGCTGAACGTAAAGTTGTATAACAGGTGTTAGATATAGACAACTTGTCAACAGTGAAAAGTGATAAATATAATCTAAATACCACAAGTTCACAACTGAAGATAAGGCCACTATCAACCAACATTACATAGTTTTTAACTTGCTGGCAGTAACAAATTGTTCCTCAAACATGTGGAAGTGTGTGGTGCAGGTAAGTGGTAATAGATACTCCAGATGCAGGTTAGTGACAACCTCCAAAAAAATAGAAACATTGGAGGTTCAATTCCCTGCCAGGCGGGACTATAGTTGTGGAGTTTGCATGTTCTTCCCGTATTTGTGTAGGTTTCCTCCCGGTACTTAGATTACTTATTTACTAGTTGTTTAAATGTTCACTGATGATTTTATATGTCATCTTGTAGTGTATAGTTAAGTTAAAGTTGATTGTCCTCTGTCTAGTGCCTGTCAGCTGTAGAAATAATGGAGGGTGAAGCACAAATGCTAACCACTGCTGTGCCGCTCCTCGCAATAACTTTGTGGGGAAAATCAGGAAGACTTTGCTCTCTGATTTTCCCCACAATGCTCAAACACAGTGCTGTCGGGAGGAGTCAATGTGGCTCCACCTCCTGCTCTTCCTGCTCCACACACACTGCTCTAGTTCCTCTGAGAGTGAAACTATCAACAATTGAAGAAATGGCGCAGGCAGCAATTGCTCTGGACAAAGAAGCCTTTTCCTGTTCAATCTGTTTGGATCTACTGAAGGATCCGGTCACTCTGTCCTGTGGGCACAGCTACTGCATGCGATGTGTTCATGGCCACTGGGATAAAGAGGAGGAGAAACAAGTGTATAGCTGTCCTGAGTGCAGGCAGAGCTTTGACACAAGGCCTGTGCTGGTCAAAAACACCATGTTGGCATGTTTGACGGAGCAGCTGGAGAAGTGTGGAGCCCAAGCCCCAGTGGACACCAGGTCTGTAGCATCTACACCTGTGTGCTGTGACATATGTTCAGAGAGCAAGTTAAAGGCTGTAATGTCCTGTCTTCAGTGTTTGGCTTCTTTCTGTGAGAAACATCTGGAGCCTCATTATCAGTCCGCAGCTCTCAGGAAACACCAGCTGGTGGCACCGTCTGACAATCTCCAAGAAAACATCTGCTCAGAACACAATGAAGTGAAGAAGATGTTCTGTCGCGATGACCAGCAGCTCCTGTGTGTGGTTTGCTGCATGGACAAGCACACGGGACATCGTACTGTGTCTGCAGCTGCAGAGAGGGCAGAGAGACAGACACAGTTGGACATCAGACAGGACAAAATCCTTCAAATGATTCAGGATAAAGAAACAGTCCTGGCCGAGCTCCAGCAGGAGGGCCTGTCCCTCAGATGTTCTGCTGATGAAGCAGTGAAAACTAGTGATGAGACATTCTCCAGGCTTATCCACATGATGATGAGGAGACAGGTTGAAGTGGAGCAGCAGATTCGCACCCAACAAGAGGCAGACGAGTCCAAACTCCAGGAGCATCAAGAGCAGCTGCACCTGGACATCAGTGAACTGAAGAAGACACAGGCCCTACTGGATGCACTGTCACTCACCCCTGACCACAACCACTTTCTACAGAACTACCCCGAGCCCTCCACAACTGAGACTGAACTCAAAGTTCACACAGAGAAACCAGGTTCCTTTGAGCATGTGAAATCTTCCCTGTTCACACTCTCCAACCTGCTTGAGCATAGTCTGAAAGAAGCACTCTCACTGGATCCACAATTCCAAAAACAACTGCCCCAGACAGAAAGACCTGAGCTCCAGCCAGAAAGACCCGAGCCCCCAATAGAAACACCTGAGCTCAAAACAGAAATACCTGAATCCCAGCCACAAAGCGCTGTTTTACAGCCCAAGGCAAAAAAACGTGTGAGCCAGAACCAGCCAGAGAGACCACTGCAACTGCAAGAACCCACCACTAGGAAAGGATTCATGAAATATGCGCAGAAGATTACATTAGACTTAAATACAGCTCACAGACAACTGTCCCTGTCAGATGGAGATACACGAGTAATGTTTGAGGATGATGCCATTGATTATCAAAAAAATGCACAAAGATTCACCTACCACTATCAGGTTCTGAGCAATGAGCGCCTGACGGGCCGCTGTTACTGGGAGGTCAAGTGGGATAAATCAGATACAACATGGTTCGACTCTGGCATTACTATAGCAGTGTGTTACAAAGACCTTAAGAGAAAAGGCAAAACAGACGAGGGCAGATTTGGATATAATGATAATTCCTGGGCATTATTTTGTGAGGGAGATGACTATTCCTTTCACTTTGACAGTGAAGAAACCTCTGTCAATGGACCCAGCTCGTCCCGAATCGGGGTCTACTTGGACCACAGTGCAGGAATTCTATCATTCTACAGCGTGACCAAAAGTATGAACCCCCTCATCAGAATCCAGACCACATTCACTCAGCCTCTGCATGTTGGACTCAGGTTTGACTCTATGATTGATGGTGCCACTGCTTACTTTCCTACACTGTAATAGTAATGTATTCAGTGAGTCACAGCTACCATGGAACTATTAGCAGATCATTTACCTGCATTCTTCTTTGTGCAGTGTTGTCATGTTAAATTCATTTAACCTTTACTCTGTTTTGATTTTGTATTTGCTTTTTTTTTTTTTCTTATTGCTGCTTGTTTTAGCAGTCCTGCATTTTGTGTTTTTTGATTTGACATTTGATTCAATGTATTTTTAAATGACTCGATATGATTCAGTTAAAAAAAAATACTTTTGGCTGCTTGCCGAATGATTTGCCCCATTTAAACAAAAATGTAATATTAATGATGAATTAATCTTCCACTTATTGACAGTTGAAAAATATTCAGTCTCATGCTTCTGTTTGCAATCCATGGCTCTACGGTTAATACAGAATATTAATAAATAAAACATAAATATATCCATCCATCCATCAATTTTCCTCCTCTTTATCCATTTCTGGTGCTTTGTGAATTGGGTGGCATCTTTGACTGCCACCCAATTCACAAAGCACCAGCCCCAATTTATAAAGAATTTATTATTTAGAAAAATAAATGTTAAAAATATCTAGAAAGAAATGTATATTACTAAATATAAAAATCAAGATTGTATGTATTAATCATATTCAATTGTATCTAAATTGTATTATTAAGCACATCCCTTGTAGTGATGTAAGAATATTGCACACATGTTTATGTCTAAAAATCCTTATTGTCATTAAAATTTCACTTATCCTCATTCCCATTTGCACCGGGCATTTGTTCATTTGAGGCCACACCGTTTTGACTGGATTTCCATGTGACTTAAGTTGTTTTGTGCATAAATGTTAGATACAGAAACAACATTCTACCTGAGCCTTACCCATCAGGCCTGAGGTCCGGGATGGGCCTGTCCAAAGAGAGCCGGTCACTGAGGTAGCTGTTGTAGCCATAGTACTGGAACAATTTCAGGGCCACGCGGCGATTCTCCGGGCTCAGGTCCTGCCCCCAGTGAGCAAAAAGGGACGAATCCAAGAAGGAAGCGTCGCCCTGGCTGTCCTCGCCTCTGCCTGGTGCCTCTGCCCAACACAGGAAAATCCATCATTTTATAACCATGAGAGCATGTAACAGCTTTAAGTATGGAGACATGGCGATAAATACTGGAGCCCGTGCTTTATAATGTATGCAGTTAGAGAAGCTGGAGTCCGCAGGCTAAAAGAAGTTCAGCTCATACACACAGTGATGAGTCAAAGTGTCCTTGAAAATCTATAATTCACAAGTGACGTTTGTTCCTTATCCGGGCATTGGGGGGGAAAAAACTCACTAATTAACAACATTTTATACAAAGCTTGTCAATTGTCGTTCTGTAAAGTAAAATATGTAGCTTGTAATGGAGAGTTTTAAGATGATCATTAACGAAAACATTTTGAGTTAAGAGAACTTTTATTCAACACACTGTAGGGAAAGTTCGTATGATGTAAACATGAACCAGCATAGTAGTTTTATGAACGTGGTATTTGGGGGTAAATGTAAGGCGAAGCAGCCAAGAAAAATTATTTGAAATCCAAACAATATAAATTTGGTTTGACCACTTTTTCCATCATTACCTGTTGTGGCTAATGACACATCCTACATACAACTTGGCATCAGCTAAAAACAAATCCAGTTTCTACTTAACATTTGAAAGGCTTGAGCGAGTATCAAACGTAGGTAAATATTTAGTTCTTCTCCCATGATTACAGCTAAGCCCTCCAGTGTCGTCTTTATACAGGCAATAATTGATCTTATCCGAAGGAGGGATTTATTCCAGTCAGCAGAAGGAGGACTGAGTATGGCAGATCATGGTGTTTGTGGTGGTGAAATGGTGGAGGTGTGAGTGAGAGGCAGAGAAGTGTCAGTTTGTGCTCACTTCAGCGGGAAAAGGGTTTACGGTGGAGTGATGAGTGGGCTCCTGCACTGGGATTAGATTTTTCTCAATATATTTGCTTATTGTACAGAAAACTAGGAACATCTGCGGATAATTTAAACCCCATGACACCTCGACATGTTTCACAACTGCCATCTACTGGGAAGCATAAATAATACTAAACATTTTTAATAACACCAATGAACCAAATAGTCATAACATATATTATGGGAAAAAGAACGAGGCAGGTGCAGATTAGATTACACTGGAATGTGACAACACGGGAGCAGGTGTTCACTGTCTGAGATTCCTCTCTTCTCAAGCAAACTCACATCTGTTTTTACAAACTCGCATTTCTATAAGCTCTATAAGGCATAAGCCTGAGGCAACATACAGTGCCTTGTAAAAGTAATCATGCATCATTCATTCCATTTGTTTTTCTTGTTAAAACCACCAACATTAAGACGTGATGTTGATATTTCGTCTGAAAGAAATACAAAGTAATGGGAAATGCTGAACGGAAAGAAAAATTAAACATGCTACGATGGAAAGTTTTTAAAGATATTGTGATTGTGATTGGTTTCGGGTCTGGACTTTATCCTAACACGCACGAATATATTCTAAACTATGCCATTGTTGCAAAATGGCTTATTGTTTATAACAGAAGGTAAACCTCAGCCCCAGTCCGAGGTCTTTTGAAAAATCCAACAGCTTTTCTTCCAAGATTTCATCCACCACTCTTCCTTGTCCTTGCTGAAGAAAAGCAGCCCCACAGTAGGATGCTGCCACCTCCAGGTTTGACACTGGGGATGGTGTGAACGTGAATGTGGTGTTTGTTTTCCACTACGAAGTGAATAGTTTTGCACATCACACTTTACAGATATTTTTTTGTGAAGATAAAGTAAGTCATTTTGCTTTCACTTCAGAATGATCTGTCCCTTTATGTTGGTCTCAAATAAAATACCAACAGAAAATCTATAACATGACAAAATGTGTAACTTTTCCAAGGTAATGTTACATGCATAGAGCTAAAGGGCTAACTTCTGTAAGAGACATCAGCTGAGTCATGTTTTAAAGACTTGAAGGCTCCTTAAGGCCCCATCGCTTCAGTGTTTGTAGCAGTAATTAGGCCCCTTTCTTCATTCGAACGTTCCCCAAGAACAGACAGATCTTTAAAATGCTGTACTATAGTGATATAACTTGGTGGTACAATTACAGTGGCTTCTACTAAGCTGCTCTCCCAGGTCAAATGTCTGATCACTGTGCGTTCAGCATTAATTAGGTCTACAAAAAGTCAGTCATCTGAGACTGCACAAACCAAATTAAACTGAATACAGAGGGGGCTGGTGCTATGAGACTTGGGTGGCATCTCTGATTGCCACCCCCCTGACCCAGAAATGGATTAAAGGGTAGAAAATGGATGGATGGATGGATACAGAGTTCAATTTCTTTCACTGATCTGCTCTATATTTACCACCACATATACAGTAGGTATAAGGTTAATTCGGAAAAAACTTTCAAAAACAAAAAAGGGGAACGACATGGGTAGAAAGGAGAAACGTCATCAAACAAGTGACCATGAGCCTAATGGCACCAGCTGCAGCATTTGATCATGTAGAATGCACAATAAACATTAGTTTTATAAAAAAATTATGTGCCAGGTTTTTGCGAAAACACACACACACACACGTACACACAAGCTCATATCCAAACACACTCATACATATCATTTGATACAAAATTAAAACTGTGTAAATGATGAAAACATGGCCCAAAGCTGTGAACAGCCTTGACTGGTATGTCCTCTTTAATGTTCAATTATTCATGTTTTTTTAATAATCCGGCATGTTGGCTAACTTTGATCTCACCCTCATAAAAGTCTGAATTGATGGTTTGCTTTCCTAACCAAAGGGTCTGGCAACACCCCAGGAAAAACAATGAGGAGAGTTTGATATTGCTCTTTTAGGAAAATGAAGTAAAGTACAAACATTATGATTTTTGAATCCATAGTGCTAATATCTACAAATGCATTGACACAAGAACAACTAATGCTCCGGGTCCTTTTCTTTCTCTGCAGTGGAATGATCAGATACGACCGCCTCAACAATCGCTCAAGATTAAGTTGCCAAACAATGCACAATAAGATATGATCAGATAATATTTATGCATCCTTCAGGGGCCACAAGGAAAATGTTTAGAATTTCAAGAGGAAATCATTATCATTTTGGCACCTCGAAGATAAGTCTTCCCTGCTAACTCATGGCAGTACACAGAACGTTTGATACAAAGTGCTGCAGGAGAGTTTTTCTGCCTCAAAAGGATAAAGAAGAAGAGGCAACATCTGCGCGTTTGAACAATTATAGAGAAAATCAATAAAACATCCAGGCGTTTGCTGCGAACATGCTCCAGCCGCTACATGGAAAATCTGTCATTCCAAAGCGTCAACTTGTATATGAATGAACAAGCTCTGATTTGCTGCATTTTCTATTTAAGGAGACAAACCAAATGTATGCAATGCAGAAACATTTGAAGAAGGAAAAAGAACAAACCTTGGGGCATGAAAATAATTCAATCTGGAAAGCCTCGAGATAAAGATTGCATTAGTTTTTTGTCAAGATTGAATAGACAATTAAACCCAGCAGACGCATTCACTTACACATTTATTGCATTTGAACATGAATGTTTGTTAAGCTTTGGCGATTAGACCCCGGTAGGAATACTGTATGATGTATGCAGGGGGGAGTTTTTTTATAGAAATTGAAATCCACTGAAGAGGCTGTGATGGGGAGGAGGTGGGTTGCTGCATACTGCCAACTTGAAGCTGCAGAGAACTGAGAGGCACTGTTTAAATGCAGCTATGAAGTGATGATGAGCACAGGTGTGGTACTGAGCAACTGAAGCTGATGTTGAACCGGAGCGCAGGTGTGCAGAGGGGGAGGAGCCAGTGTGGCAGGCATGACATCTCTTTTGGTCTTTCAATCTTAATGTATGCTTAAGCTTCATAATCATATTCCAGTAGGTGATATCTGATTGTTGTGACAAGGACTGTAATAACGATAGAGATGCAATCTTTTGTTTCTCTAAACCAGGGGTCTCAAACCGGTTCCAGAAAGGGCCATGTGGCTGCAGGTTTTACTTCCAACAGTTCCAAACTGAGCAGGAGCACAGATGACTCCACCCATTTCCTCAGGTGAGTCCAGTTTTAACCTGAAGATTTGAGGAAATGGGTGGAGTCATCTGCAGCCACATGGCCCTTTCTGGAACCGGTTTGAGACCCCTGCTCTAAACCAGTGGGGGCGGGTCCCGGCTCAAAAGTGGCCAAAATGCTGTGCACTGACATACTTGCAATACCACCCCGGGCCAATGGGGGTGGACCCAGAATAAGAATTAGCCAATGCTAACATATAGCGTTGGAAGACCTCTCGAAAACACTTTTACAGGATGGTCCAAAAGTTGGCTCTTGGCCCAAAGCTCCGTTCCACATGTGTGTCAATGCTGAAGCCTAGTGTATACTTGCGCGGCGCTGCTTACGTTAGCGGTTGCGGTGGACCTCCGCAAGCACAATTTAATTTATACTCCTTGCGGAGTTTTGAGGAGAATGTTGTAATTGCACAACCAACCACACGATGGCGATCTCACAGGAGTTGCTTGAGATACCAAAGCGGTCTCATTTACGCTGCTATTTTCTCCTCTTCAGAACAAAAACATGAACAAAAACAAAGCTGTTTGAGATCATTACATGTGTTTCTACTGTAGGATTATGTGACAGTTCTATGGACTCATTATTTCTTAACTCAATTAACTGTGATTTTGTGAATAAAGACACAGTTCTTGTTGGAAACATAGTTATTATTAAATTGTATTCAGCACAAACAGCATACAAAAAGTGGTAAATATTTGAGGCAAACATGAACAATTTATAAGTGCAGGAGGAAAGCAACAGACGCGATAAGCTACGATTCTAACAAAGACAGGAACAGTGCAAAACAAACGACTGCACAGTTTATAAGTTATATATATGTTAGATATGCAACAGAACTCTAGTCCACAGTCTCCGCGTATATCAGGCTCTGCCATGAGCCCAAACTACTTTTCCTTTGGTTTCTTCGAAGCGTGAAGCAGTCTGCTCCATAGTGCCTCGTCCATGCTCCTGCAGCCGCTCCGTGCTTCCTT